GTATCTGGCCTATTGTAAGTAAAGACAAATATTCAGTTCTATGCCGTGTTGCCCTGAAAGTGAAAGCATTATTCAGTTCAACCTATTTGTGTGAATCTTCTTTTTCCAATATGAAGTTTATTAAGAACAAATATCGCAATCGACTTACAGATGAACATTTGGATAATTGTATTCGAATGGCTGTATCAAATTATACTGCGAACATTAAAAAAATTATCGATGAGTCTGAGTGTCAGCCTTCTCATTGAACGTGTTTTTTTATTTTTCAATGTTTTTGTTCATGGTAGTGCGTTACTTTTTTGTTATTATTAACTATTTTTAAAACTTACGTGACATGCTGTTGTGGCTGGATAAAAGTTTGTGTTTATTTTTCAAACACGTTCGTTTGGTAAGTAGGAATGTAGCTATGAACAAGAACGTACTAGTAATATTAGTTATTTTGTTATTAGTTTATTATTAGTACCTATGTATTATGTATTACCAGTTAAATAGTAAAATAAATACATATAATGATAAATTAAATGTGGATTATTTCATTTACGTTGCGTTACGTGGCTTCCGTGTGGGTAGCTCGCTGTTTATTCCAAAATTAACAAAGTAGCTCAACACATTGAGCAGTTGGCGACCACTGATCTATGGTAATATTTTATTGTAAAACGATACTAGAAGCGACACCTATCATTTAGTAGCAAAACTAAAAGTGTCCGGGGATACCCGCTGTCCTGCGGTATGAATCACTCCCCTAAATTGTTGACTTATGGATTTCTTTTAGCGGTAAGACAAATATTTTAAATACATGTCTAAATTTGTTATTGCAGATTTTTTTACCTTTCTTTGTCTTAAGATGACCTTATAAATTTTATCTTATATTCATATCACTTTTAGTCCTAATAAAACAATACACTATTATCGAGACAATTAAAATATTACTATTACATTTTTTAAATCCAAATTTTATAGATATTTAAAAATAAAGCCAGTTTTAAAGATACCGACCAGGTATTTACACACTTTGCCCTATAATTTTAACGGTTCAGCGTCGGCCCGTGGTACGATGACGTCACTTACCCCCGTTTCTATATTCGCTGATAGGGATGATATATGGCGGCGAGTAGAAGATCGCGCAGCGGCCATCACTCAAATCAATTCATCCACTCCTTCATCCTATTAGCGCGTGGCAATGCAGTTTAAAGCGGCGGTTTAACTGGCGCGGTTTAGTATGATTTCAACAGTAAACAATCTAAATTTTTTTAGTAGAAAAATGTTCAATTTTCATTTTTTATTTAGTTATTAAAATAAAAAATATTATTAGAGAAGACATCTTCCTTTTTGCAAACGGAATAGAATTAGTTTATAAAGGGCTCTGCGCATTTTTTGCATACTATACTTTTCATAGAACATTAATATTTTAATTTAATATTTTACGCAGCAGTTCTCAAAGTGTAATCCGCAGAGCCCTAGGACTTCGAAAAGCCTATGTGGGGGCTTTGGGAAAATACTAGTCATAATGATAAAAAAAATACTAAAGAAGTACTAAAGGATTATTACAAGGTTGTAGAATATAATAAAATATATCTAAATATTCCAACATGAAGCAAATACTGTCAAATATGAAGTTGGTTCTGGACGAAGCAATCAAAATAATTAATGTCATCAAATAACGTCCACTGGAGTGCGTTTAGAAACCCCGCACGGCGCGTCTCACCCAGTGAACTGTATACTTAAAATGGAACGCCAATCCCTATTAACCAAAGTAAGCCAAATTGAATTCGCGCATTACGTCCCAACGATACTGGCAAGAATGCGCACAAAGTGCCTTTGCAGGTCCGTTTCGGCCATTTCATGTACTATTTTTTAAATTAAGAGAAATTAATATCTTTAAAACTCAACAATAAGAAAATCCATTTTAATCTTTAGTTATATTTCTTACCACTTGTTTTACCGTATGTAGATGTCAAAAAATAGGAATTAGGAGGAGTTACTTATTTTTAAAACTATGCAAACATTTTATAATATGGAATCAAAGCCATCTATTTAAAAAAACAAAATTAATATGTAATAAAGTATAGATATTTTATCATTGCTTACTCTAAGAATAACAAAAGTAATATTTGCTTTAAAAATCATTTTTAATGGATAAACCCATATATAAATTGGTTAAAACTTACCTTTGGAGGCTTTTCCAAAAAGGATCGAATGGAGACTGTTAAGCGCATAGAAACAATAGATTTCTTTACACAAACATATCAAAGGGAAGCATAAGAATGTTTAAAGTGACTAAGTCTAAAAACCTTTACTAGCTGCATTAATTTTATTGAGAAAATATATTTACATTTAAATAAAACACTAAGATAAAGTAACTGTAGCTTTATTAATAAAGTATAGTAACATTCAAATTTTCCATAAAAACGACCCCATCTCAAGCAAAATTTTCAGTGATAGGTATAGGTTTTATTTTTGCTTTAATGAATTAATAGAATTCTTTATCGTTAGTAACAATTTTATAGATGAGAAATACGTCTTTCACATTTGTAATGTTATTTACAAAAATAAGATATTTATAAATGTTTCGGCCGAATCAAAAATTTACGGTGACAGCCAAGCAACTTGGTGGGTAATATTACAATAGACAGATAATTTATTTCAGGTAGACATTTTTTACAATGTACATGATTCGTCAAAAATAAAACAATAATATAAACTAGCGAAGTAAATAAGTATTTATTTATAATAAATATATACGTACAATAGAAAACATGTACTTATAATTAGTATAACTGTGAGTATTAATTATTATTATAAAAAGAACATTCATATTATTACCTTTGCAAGTCAGAAACATATGTAAATTTACTTATTTCCTGGATATCTTCATTCTCTTTATTTTGTTCATAAACTCCAGATGATGTGCTAGGTCTATCTGTTGATTCAACCACATAGCTGTAATAAAAAATAATATTCTTAAAAGTTTTATTTAACCAATTAATTCATATGCCGATTGTTCCTACATGTTATCCCAAATTGTTTTTTTTTTCTGTACCCTGTAAAACGCTAGAGTAACTATAGGACCATTAATATTCTGCCAACATTTCCATATAATAAATTATGATTTTCATTCTTTTATTCATAGAGTGACAAGATCTGTTAATCGACTAAATATGTAGAATTAATTATTATTTCTTCATCAGAATTTTGTAACCAGTTACATATGGGTATGTGAGGTATAGATTTTAAATTTTTAATTAATTGTTTATTAATATAGATATATTTCAAATTAATTTGTTATTAAGTATAAGGTATTATTTAGAATTTTATTATTATTGAATGACTATGACAGGTATTCTATATTATTGTCTTGTTTTAATGGGCTCTGATCCATAAATATATTATCGATATCTACATACATATAATTTTGTAGTTAGGTATACATATAAAAAAAAGTATAATTTAATAAATATATATTTGTCATAGCTTAATTACCTTGGAAGATTAGTAGGTAACATCAATGGCTTACGAGGTCCTAAATTAATAGCTGGCACAGCATGTTTTTTTAAACGCTTCCTAGTTCCTCCTAGAATGAAGTCACTTTCTACGAAATGTGCACTACAAACGGCATTTACAGAAGTCAACGTTTCAGCCTTGGGATCTCTTCCTAAAGCCCTCATCCAAGCTGAATACCTATCAGAAGTTAATCTAAAAAAAACACATGATAACTACATCATTTTTGGTTCTGGGTGCTTCAAAAGGGAAGAATTAGTCGACAATTTGGCTCAGATAGCTAAAATATAACACCCGTACGCCCGAACCACGTATTGCTATCCTTTTAAGTATGAAAAAGGGGGTCAAAAACACATGGGTACCCCTTAGTTTGAATAAAAAATAACTAGTCATCCTTACCTGAAAAATGGAGGCGTCTGACTCTTACACCACAAAACCATACACTTTTTCCCCATTTTAACAAGAGTCTGATTAAATCTGATTACTATTAGGTATAGTGTATCAACCAAAAGCAGGCACTTAAGTGTTCTAAAGCTAATTTCAACACAAAACGAACAAAGCACTAAACAAAAAGTAGCGATTAAATAGAAATAAACCACACAATTAAATTGAAATTAAAAACTATTAACTGTAAAGATAGATCATCTAAAAACGTCAAAGATCAAAACCAAACAAAACGAATGACTGTAATAACCTTAAAATCACACTCAAAATTGCAAAAACCAGCTCTGTAAAATCATGAGATCACATCAATAATGGGCATGCGCCGGAGTATCGTAAATGTTAAAAGTACAGTGTTTTCATGAAAATTTCACTACGTTTTTAGCAGCGTTAGAGAACTATTTCTACCACGCGCATCCAACGACATTGGCGTTCCATTTAAATATACAGTTCAGTGGTCTCACCACATACATTAGAATAGGGTCAAGACGCGCCGTGCGTGGTTTCTAAACGCACTCCTGCAATCCCGATTGTTATTAATTTTATGTGACACTACTGCCAAAAAATTGAGAATCGCTGAAACATAACCACTTAGTTGTTTGTAATTATGCTCTTTCCTACGTATTCATTTGATACGTAAAATGCTAAGTGTGGAAAAATGACGTTAAACTTTTGACACTTTTTGACAAGGTCCTAAACTTATAAAAATTTCATTTTAAATTCCGTGGAAAAATGTAGTTTCAGTTTATATTAGAGACGATGAAATAAATTTTAGGCAGCAAAAAAGGCAGATAATATTACAAAAATCTATTTAGTAGAAAAGACCTATGTCTACATGGTATTTTTTAAAATACCTGGAATGCAGTAAACATGAAATAAGTTTACTTATTCCCATAAAATAGATTACAGGTACTTTACTAACAAAGGCATAAGTCGACATTTTTATAATAATGAAATAAGTTAACATATTCCACCATAGTTTAACGGTATATTCAATAATAAGGGCATATAATGACATACTTGGTAGATTCTTCTAATAAAACCTCTGATATTTTTAAAAATTTTATTTTGGAAAGTATTTTATATGAACAAAACTTATAAACAGTAATGAAAAATAAGCATCTTTTGAGTGTATTACATTGCAGATAGCCAAAGTAATTATTTAATTTGAATCTTCATCGGAAAATATCTGTCAATATCTGGGTCAGTGTCTTTTTCTATTTTTTCGTCTGTTTTTAGCCCCGTATAAAAATTTTGGGCGTCTTTATCTAATAATTCAACAACGTCTAAAATATTTTGTTTTTTTTTGTGACTTATAGTCCTAGGACCATCGCACAAAGGAGTAAGAACAAAGTCCTTCAAAGCATTAATTTTCTGGCCCTTTCTAAAACACGTTATTTCTTTGAATGGTTCCTTTTCCTGTAAAGTGTTTTTGAAGTTGACTATGCCAGTATTATTTTTCATGTATCTTACCCAGTTCGCATTTATCAACTTAAAGTTTGCTTTATTTTGCAGGGGTCCTTTGGCATAAATATTTGAAAAAAGAAAAAAATGTTCGTTTTTCATCGGATAAACAGTAAATGTTCCTTCCTTGCTAGCATTTCTTACAAGTTGATATCATTCTCTTGGCACGTGAATCTCCTTAGAGGATATTTTCTTGGCTCTTTCGATCACAGAATGGTCTACGACGCACTCTAAATGCGTATGACCTGGAATCAAGAACTTATGATCTATTATTTCGACAGTACTATGCAATAAAATTGCATACTGGAAAATAGACATAACAGTCCTATTTTTGTTTTGTCCACCATACCTATCAGGATGTTTTACTCCATACGGAATTGTTTTTAGAAATTTCATTTGCACCTCTGCCAGCGGTGCATTCTGGCCACATGAAGTGACTGGAATTTCCATTAAAGCTGTTGTGAACTGTCAAATTATAAGTTAAGAGTTGCCTTAAACAAAAATTTTTATTTGTTATTAGATACGGAGTCGACAGAACCTGTTGAAGATCAAAAGAGTAAGTGATAAAATGTTGATTTTGCTTACTTTTTTCTTTATCTTTTGATTTAGCCTCATAGGCATCATCTGCAGATTTTTGATAAGACTCTTTCTCTTGACAAATTCGATTTTTTGTTTCTGCATCTGCCTCATGCTTTTCACGAGCGTATAGTATGTCACATTTCGTACATGTGTCGTTTTTAGGTTGCTTAACTTTAAGATCAAAACTATTAAAGATTCGGGAATATATGTTGATTGATACAGACTTGTTGGGATATTTCTCACAATATAATTTGTACATAGTAGCAATATTTAAGTTTGAAGATAAGAATTTTTTATCAGTGTGTCTTCTAGAATAATGACTCTTATAGGCAGGGAATGAATCGATATGCTTTTTGACTTCATCTATTTTGTGCTAAGGGGTTTTGTGTGGTGGTGTTGATTTACCTCTCAAATCTTCATGAATAGTGCAACTAATAAACAACAATTTATTCTGAACAGCGCATGTAATAAATTTTTCCGTTTCATCGAGGGTATGGCAAAAACACGTTTTGCAAACTTTTTTCTCTTTTCCATTTACAGAAAACCTATATGTGTACGTATTTGCTTCATTTTTAGTTGGTTTTTCTCTACCTTTTTTCTTGTAAGTCCAGCTATAAAAGTCACAATTTTAATATAAGTACCAAGGCTCCAATATTCATCGCGTATAGCTTTTCTAATGTCTTCAAACAGGATAGTTTTACATTTCAATATATAATTTTTTCTTAGTGGTTTAATAATCCTGGCTTCGATGATTTTGCCTTTGGCATTTATATATTTTGCTCCCACGTTTCGATTTTTCTTACGTTCTTTCACTTTTTTTTACTGCGTACGGTTTACTGTTGTCTTCTTCTTCTCTCTTTCTATCACTACCACTTTCTTTATCTTCTTCGCTAATTGGAATCCAATCAGGATTGCCTTTGCTTTCATCAAATTCACCTTTATCATTGATTAGGTTTACATTATCAAAATCTTCTGCCTTTGTATTGTTTTTGGTCTACGAGTATTTCAGATTGATGTTCTATAATAACAAGATCTTCTTTATTTTTATTAATGTTTCTTTGATCTCTTTCAGAATGAATTACTTCCATAATAACCGGTTGAATGTCATCAGTCAGGATATTTTCAGGAAAATTTTATTTTCTGCCTGGTATTCTTTAAAAATATTATTTTCAATGTCCTGGATTTCAGTTTTGATTTGAGTCAGATTTAATACTCGGATAATACACGATAATTAAATAAAAGTGTTAGCATACCGGTCATAGGACTATGTATTTTTGGGGTTAGGTTAAGATTTTTAAATACCTTTTTATTAAGATTTAAAAAAATGGCCATTACTTGCAATAAAACTTTATATAAAATGTGTCCTAAAAACTATTCTACTTACATATAATGACCTAGAAATTAATATAAATAACATACTCGAGTTTAAACATACTGTGACGAATAATGGTTCATTATTCACTGCACGACGTCATATCGTGAATAATAGGTATTATTATTCTTAAGGAAGTATAAGAATAATGTATGTTTTATAGAACAGTCTGGACAAAATCAATTAATTTATTTATTCAGAAGTATTTTCCAATAGTAATTTAAATATTTTTTTACTTACATTTTTCTGGATAGTGGAAACAAAACTGTAGCCATAATCTTATTAAAATTAATTGTAAAATCTTGTTTAATAAAAATTAACGATTTAAATATTCCAAGGGATACATTGATGATTTTCTTATTCACTCGACTAAATTGTTTACAAGTAATTAACAAGGTTTTGTTGGTTCAAACCTATTCAAACTCACGACAGATTTCAAAGACACAAAGTAATGTTCCAGCACTGAAGCAAGGAATAAACTCAAAATAGGGTCAGGACTGAAGCGCAGTCTTTTGTTATGCGAATACAGGGCGATTTATTTTTGAAATTTAAGAAAGTAATAAATGTTCAGTTGCAAATTTATTATATTTATTCTAGTTTTGTTATTTAACATAGCTTCGTTATTCAAAAGTGCTTTTTTGCATGTTAACAATTCACAAATATATCCTACAGTTTATTTTAAATTGTATAGTAGCACAGTTTTTATGGCAGAAAGAAAGTAAATATTGATACCTTCTTATCTGAATTTTCACTAGATTTTAGTATGACTCTCACGAAAAACAACGAATACAATACATTATAAAATGTAAATGAGCAAACTCTAAGGGATTAACTAATAATTCTATGCCCCAGTGGCGGGAAAACGAAATAGTAAACTGTAAATATTAAGTACCCACATTTATTTTTATAAAAATAGTATACTAGATATATGGTTAGGATATTTCCTTAAAATTTAATATTAAATATGCACACAACCAAATTTAAATATACCAAAAAAAATCTTTGCAAAAAAATATTTTCTCATAAAACACTTATATTTTGTTTTTAGAAATACGGGATGATTCCATATAAATTTTTTTTTTGTATTTCGGATACTAGCGTCATAAAAACTTATAATTATATAAATATAGAGTTACATACCTAAATAGTACCTACTCAATAAGGAGTCAGTCATCATCATCAATTTCCTCACTTCCCACAGAAATAATAATTCGTTCTATTGTTTCCTCTATTATTAACATATCAAGTTTCCAGAATTTCTCTTCCTCTGCTTATGACATGTCTTATAGCGTTCTGATAGTTGTTCGGAGAAATTTTTAATATGGAGTCGCATAATAGTTGACGAACATCTTTAAGTTTAAATGTTTTATTATTTCTCGCGATATATCCCTTTATTTGAGCCCAGATTAGTTCAATGGGGTTAATTTTACAGTGATATGGTGGTAACACTTTCACTCCATGTTCTTTTTCTATTTCATCTACTTCTTAAATTCTGGTGAATGTTATTTACACACTTGCAATAAATAGCACTTTTTTTAAGTAATTCCTCTTCTGCCACTATTTCTTTGGTAATTAGCCAATCAGAAAGTTCTTGCTTTTTCCATTTAGTATTTGCTAACGGTTCATTTAATCTTAAATAGTAACTGTCATTGTCCATAACTATTATAGAATTGATCGTTAATAAATCTATCATTTGACTGAAATATTCCTCAAAATTATCAGCAGTCATTTGTTCATGGCAGTCTTTTGTAGAATTTGAAACAAATTCTAACAAATCTCTATCAACAAATCATTTAAATCCTTCAATTGGGATCTAAAATTAGGATCGCAGCGCCGTTTGTACTTAACATTTAAACTAAATGTTGTGACTTGTTATTGTTTATATTTTTTAGTTTGTAAAAAAACAGCCCATAAAAAGTATTTAGTTTATATTGTGCTATTTTAAGGAAAACATATTGTTGTTGTTAATTTTTAGTGATTAGACACTTTTATTTCAATAATTTTTAGGTTAAAGTAGAATATATATTTTTATTTCAATCGAAAAATAAATCTATATTACCACCTCTAGGCAAATAATCATGTTCTCTAAAATGCTGTGCATGGGAACAAACTTTCAAATACTTTGATACTGGCTTCTCAATTTTCAACTTTTGAAACCATGCATTTATTGCAGAACTTCCACTTGCATTTTATAAAAATTACCCTGAGTTTACCAACTTTAGGAAGCAGACGAAATGTAAAAGAAGGGTCCATTTTTTTAGGGCTGCATTGAGCTACACAACAAGTGTGTTTTTCACTGATATTCCACTTATATTCCAAATAATATAATATTTTAATATATATGATAAAAATTTAAAGCATTAGCTTATTATTAAATAAGATATTTCAAATAAAAATGCTTGTTAAATTTTGAAATATTGACATGACCTGATAAACAATAAACAAAACTTGACAGAACACAGACGGTTAAGTGTCAAATGCCAAAACTTTTATTTCACAGTAGAGGGCGTATCGCTTATCTTCAGATCCCAATATGAGTGATAATTAAACGGCGACCTTTAACATTTAGAAATTTTAAGCCAGTAGACAAGCCTATAAATGACTGACGAGTAGTTGTTACCTGTTTATCTTGCCAAACTTCTTTTACAAATGTCCTTCATTTATCCATGTTTCATTCAAATAAATTTTTTTTTCTTCTCTTCTTAATTTTCAAATTTCCCTTAAATATTGCCTCCTCCAACAAATAATTTTATCTTCGTTATCTTCTCCATTAACGTCTACTAAAAGTTTATCCAAAGTAGGTATCTTTTTTTGTAAATAAAACAAATGCTTTTTCTTTAGATCAGTTGTTTCATAATACTGTCTATTTGAATGGGTTTTCTCCTAGTTGACGTTTTAGGTGCTACTGTAATACTTCTATCCTTTCGTTGCTCAAAAGTCTAAAAATTGTTGCTTCTCCAACTCCTGTCATATTTGAACACTTAAATACCATACGTCGAACAGTTCTATTGAATTTTTTATCTAAAAGATCTTCATGTACATTTATTACTAAATTTTTCATATGCATGAATAAATTGCACTTTAATTGGACGTTTGAGCCATTTATATTACACAAATTAACTTAATCAATATCTGTTTTTATCACCTATTATTAAAGAACTAACAAATCTGCATGTTACAATCACAGGACTATACAAACAGAAATGTAAATCTTAACTAAAATAATTTACAATCTGCATAACACTTTCTGCCGATTGAAAATTATATTCCTTTCAAAGAGAGTCGAGGGCTACTTAAATTGATTTAGGATTGTAAATATTTTCTACCTGTAGAGATTACATACTTACTTGGTTTTTGTTGATTAAAATGACTAGAAACTTTAACACAAGACTTAAAATAAATTGATGTTTTTTAAAATTTTAGGAAGAAAACCGAAAATTTTATTTTGGAATAAATATTGCTAAACATTTTCTTTTAGAAATTATTCTGGTTCATAAAAATGTTGCTAACATTAG